GGGCCGGGCGGACGCCCTGGTGCAGTGAGCAATCCGCACAACCGTACCTGGGAACCACTACCTGACTGTGCGTCTACTCTCTCTTGCCAGCACCCAACCCGCCGACGCTCAGCGGCACCGAGTGCTATGCCTGCGTGGGGATCCACCCGGCGGACTGCACTCCGGAAAAGTCCCGACGGGTCCAGTGTCACCAGGACCAAAGCGTCTGCTTCCAGGGCAATGGCCAAATGACCGTTGGTGAGGGGCTGGGAGGGGGTCAGGGCTTGGGCAAGGGGAGTGGAGGTAGGGCAGGCCTGAGGGTAGAGGCACCAGGCAGGCCTGAGGGGGAGACATGGTCCCGGTCTGAGGGAGGAGGTTGGCTCTAGGCTGAGAGAGGAGGCAGGGCCCCAGTCTAAGGAGGGAGACTAGAAGTCTGTCCAAGGACCCAGAGGTGCCCCTGGCCTCTGAGGTGGGGGTTCAGACGTGGCCTCCTCCCTCGGTCTTGACCCCTCCTCATTGCGCCCACCCCCAGGCAATCTCTCAGTGCCTGTGTACATCAGAACCTGCCACCGGCCCTCCTGCACCGTCATGGGCACCACCAGCCCCTGGACCAACATTGACCTCCAGGGCTCCTGCTGCGAGGGCAGCCTCTGCAACACGGACTCCGTGACCCAGTCCTTCACCTCCACGTCGGCCAACGCCTGTCCCCGGGCGCTCCACGTCACGGCCCTGCTCCTCATGGTCCCCCTACTGGTCGGCACTCTGGGAGGCCCCCTCGGGCTCTCCTCATAGATGCCCCTCCAGCCTCTTCCTGGGCAGGGGTGCTGCGGACAGGGTCCCTGTAAACCCTTCTCGCAGCTTCAGACCTTAGAACCCGGCTCCCTGGAAAATGATGTCAAAGAGAAGTTTCCCTCTCATCTCTCTCCTTCCTGCTTCCCTACCACCGCCCCACCCTTCCCTGGTCAACAGACCTGGGAAAAATTGGGCAAGGTCCCCAGCATCCCAGGGTGGGGGAGACAGCCACCTCCTGCCCCGCATGCAGAGCAATCCTGATAAGAGATATCACTGACTGAGCCCCCACCAGGCCCCGGCCCCCCACGACCTGGTTTCCTGCGCTCTCCCTCTGGGGCCTGGGACCGGCTCCCCCAGGGAGCTGCGATGATGTCTTTATTCGGATCGTCATGAGAACCTCGAGAGGCAGTATGTCCCAGGAGTTACGAGCCCAGACTCTGGAGGCAGGCTGCATGAGTTCGAATCCCAGCTCTACCATTTAGCCTACGGGTGACCTTGGGCAAGTTACTTCACCTCTCTGTGACTGTGTTTCCTCACCTGGGAGGTGGAGGTGAAAATAAAACCTACAATAATGACAAGACCGACTTCACGGTTGTTGTGGTTGGAATTTAAAGAGATGAACATGGAGTACCCGGGACACAACACTCGCCCAGCATGAGCGGGCTACTGTCAGGATGCCCACGTCACAGATGGACAAGGGTGGGGGGGCCTGCTGGAGCTCACGTATCTAGTGAGTGGAGCACCAGGCGTGTGTGAGTCCCAGCCCACCACACCGCTAGGCATCCACCTCCCAAACACGTGGGGGTTGATTTGACGGAAACACATTTGAGTCCAAGGTGAGCCAGGAAAAATCCTCCAACCTGGGGAGATCTGGGAAGACTTCCTGGAGGAAGTAAACCTTGAGCAAACTCCTACAGGATAAAGAGGAGGCAGGGCATCTAGGGGGAGGAAACAGCCAGGACAAAGGTCCGGAGGTAGGAAGGAACCCAGGGTGTGCAGGACACTTACATGAGCACGTGAACTCCATCCTCTTGGGCTCATGTTTACAAGGTCCTCTCCCATCTTCGTCCCACTTGATTGTCCCAAGGACCCAGTGAGGCAAGCAAGAAAGGGAGGCACGTCCCCACAGAGCAGACAAGTCGCCCAAGGCACGGTGAGTGAGAGCACTTTTCAGAGTGAGCGGCAGAGCAAGGATGGATCCCACATCTTCTAATTCTACCTCGACAGGCAGCCTTGTGGGAGGAGGGCACGTGAGAAATGCTGCTACGCTCCTGTGAGGTCAGGGGAGAAGGGTTCGAGACGTCTACACAGCCTGATGTGGAAGGGAAACTGGATCTCCTTGCTCGTTCAACACCACACTAACTGATGGCCTACTGGGTGCCCACACTGTTCTGGTTGCGGGGCACCCAGCAGGCAACAAGACAGGCCACTTCCCTCCCTTCACAGAGCTGACCTTGCTGGTGGGGGGGAAGTGACTTGGGATTCTGTTGTGAATGTGGTTTAAAGCTGGGATGGTCAGTCTGATGTGTCAGCTCGGCTAGGCAACAGCCCCAGTTATTCATTCAAATGCTCATCTAGGTGTTGCTGGGAAGATATTTCCAGATTTGGTTAAAGTCCATAATCAGGTGACTTTCAGGGAGGTTATTCTAGACCATCTGGGTGGGCCTGCTTCCATCAGTTGAAAGGCCTGAAGAGCAGAGCCCGCAGCTTCCTTGAGAAAGAAGTATGCCTGGGGGCGGCAGCTTCAGGCCTCCATGGGGACTTCCAGCCTGCCCTTCCTCGCAGCCTGCCCTATGGATTGGAACTCACCCGGCCAGCCTCTGCAACCACATAAGCCAGTTCCTTGCAATAAATCTCTTAATGTGCATCTCCTAGTTCTGTTGTTCTGGTTCATCCCAGACTGATACAGAACCCTTTGGAGGATTGAGAGCCGGGGGCTGCCATGATTTTATATTATATAACATCGTGTTATTAGGTGTATCATATAGTATACATAATGTTAAGTGTATTATATGTATGTAATTATATACATAAATAATTACATGTATTATAACTTTTTCATTGAGATATAAAATACATACAGTAAAATGCATGAAGTGAAATTTTTCTGTAACATACACCTGAGTGACCTCCACCCAGGTCAAGATACAGAACATTTCCAGCCCGCGCCCCCATAGTCTCCCTCATAGCCCTTCACAGGCACTTTCCCATCTTGAAGGAAGCCATTATTCTCACCTCTATCATAGATCCATTTTGCCTCTTTTTGAACTTCATATAAATGGATCCCTCAGCATGTCCCCTTGTGTACATGCTTTACATTTTAAAAGAATCCTTGTGGCAAGAATGGAAGCTGAGACCTGTAAGGTGGCTACTGCACCAGTCCTAACGAGCGATGACAGGGTGGCCACCAAGAGAGTATTTGGGTTGAATAAGGGATAGATTTTGTTGGTAGAGCTGAGAGGACTTGTTGTCACATTTGTTGAGGGCTGTGAGGGAAAGAAAAGCCAAGACCGCTCCAAGGTTTTGGCCTGAGGAATGGGGTAAATGGTGGTGCTGTTTACCAAAGAGAAGGACAGATGAGAGGGAGTGAGAATCAACAGTTGAGTGTTGGACATGTTGAGTGTGATTCAGTTCAAACTAAGAGCACTTCAGTTTGCACAGGGCCCTTCATCAGGGCATAGAACATACGGGTATATCTCCCCAATGGAAATTAGTTTGCATGTTTCCTCCAGAAGACATGTCCTGGAATGTTCCTAGCAGGACAGTTCATAATAACCACAAGCTGGAAGCAAGCTGAATACCTGTCAATAGTCGAGTGTCCTGTTCCCAGAGTGGGGTACCATACAGCACAAGAATGAACCATCTGCATGCAACAGCATGGATGAACCTCACAGATGTAATGTTGAGCAAAAGGATAAAGACACACAAGAGACCATCCTGTATGATTCCTCTTATATAAAGCCCAAAGTAGGCAAAACTAATATACGCAATTAAAAGTCAGGAGAGGGGCCAGCCTGGTGGCGTAGTGGTTAAGTTCGTGCACCCTGCTTTGGCAGCCCAGGGTTCGCAAGCCTGGATCCCGGGCATGGACCTACAAATCATTCTTCAGACCATGCTCTGGCAGTGTCCTATATACAAAATAGAGAAAGACTGGCACAGGTGTTAGCTCAGGCACAACCTTCCTCAAGGGAAAAAAAAAAGAAGATTGGCAACAGATGTTAGCTCAGGGCCAATCTTCCTCACCAAAAAAAAAAAAAAAGGTCAGGATAGTGATAATCCTTGGGGGTTACGAGCAGAAGAGAAGACAAGGGGGATTCTGGGGGTCTGGTCTTTGTGTTTCTTGATGTGAGAATTCATTGAGCTTTTTGCTTATGATTTGTGTTCTTTCTATATACACATTATTTTCGATAAAAGGTTTTTTAACATTTTTTTTTTAAATCTTTCTTGGTGCAGAAGTGGCATATGGGGGAGTAGAAGAGAAAAATAAAACCTACCCCTTTCTTAAAATTTTCTGTTTGGTTACAATAGGCAAAAGGGTGAAGATTTCAGTTGACCATCTTATCACACGAAGCCTTGCAGGTGAGGCAATTTGTTAAAGGAAAAGGAGTGACTGAAACGACAGATCCAGAAAATACAGTCTCTATTCTGTTGATTGGTTTTGAATTATCCAAATGAGAGTTCATAATTTTTATTATCTACATTCTGGCTGAATGGACTTAAATTTGCATGCCATTCATTTTGCCTGTGTCGTCACACTCGGCTCTTTGTCATGTTGATCTCCGGTCATCTGTTGCAATATTTAGTCATTTTTTACTACTCATTGGACAACTAATTATTGCTGTCTCCTAATTGCAGTGCACAAGCAATATCTGGTCTTATGGGAGGGGAAAGGCAGTGAAGAAATAGGATGGATGCTACTGACAAAATTGTGATTACAAACATCAGGTCTGCCACCAACAACAATCCTTATATTAAATAATAAAGGGAAAGAAGAGGCAAGATTAAAAGAAGTTAGTAGATGGATAGATAGATACAAGAAAAGGTGGAAGGAAGGAGGAAAAGAGGGGGGCGGGAAACAAGCGAAGAAGGAAATATGCATATCTACTACAGTTTGAATCTCTGTGATTGGTCACAAGGCCATGATTGGTCTATTCAATTTCCTTTTTCCATTACTCATTCCACGTTTCCAAGTTTCCTTTGCCCTCAGCTGGCTGGTGTTCTTCACTTAGTGAGCTGACTTCCTGAAAGGTCTTGATCCTCAGTGGTCCTGCCTTTCTTGTCGTTGCTGTTGTTGTTTTTACTCTTGGACATGGAAGCTGTAAGAAGTGTTCCAGAGAATGCTTTGGGTTCTAGACATGGCCTCCCTTGGCTCCACTGTGCCGCAGGAACTCAGTTTCCCCTTGGTAATCAAGATCGGTCACCCAAGCCCATAGAGTAATCCTCCTCTTTGCCTCTTGGTTCAGTGTTGTGAGGAGCCCAAAATGGCCAGGAGACAGTGTCCCACCCCCCAATCCAGTGGAACCACTGCTGTGTCCTCTAGTGGGAGCATTCTTTCCTTAGGAACCAAGACGTCCAAGCCAGCAGAGCTCAAAGTTGTGGGGATGGGAAGCAAAACTTCTGCAAGTGGGTATGAGGTGTAATAGTGAGAGGGGTCCCTGCGAATCCCTGAGACCCCGACCCCAGTATTTGGGCTGTGCCCTGGGGAGACAGCATTCAAAGGATGCATGCGCTGCATCCCGTAAGACAAAACCCCATCCGTGCAGGCGTTGACTCCCAGTTGGCAACAGTCACTGAGTCATCCCATCATTGTATCAGGTGAGCTTCTTCTAGGAGATGGAGTATGAGGTAAGACCCGTGAACCCATGGGCATGACACACAGAGGCCCGCTTCAGACCTGGATCTTGGAAAAGAAGCTGAAAGGTGGTAGGGAAGCAACATTACCAAACTTGGATTTATAATTGGTCTCCGTCATGCATTGAGATCCTCCTATGTTCCTGGCCATGCACTGGGCACTAGGCCACGGAGGGGAGTCCCAGGCCTGGAGGAGCTCCCAGTCTAATGGGAGAGCTCTCATATCCATGCTCAGACAGCTGCAAGCCCATGATGGAGGGATGTGCAGGGACAAGAGGAGCCGGGTTGGAGGAGGGATACATTGGGGCTGGTGCCAGAGGGAAGAGAACCTGGTGACAGGTTTTAAAGCATGCCACATGGACAGAGAAGGGAACAGCATTCCAGGCAGAGGGACCAGCCTGTACAAAGACAGAGACACAGAGGCAGAAATAATCTCAGTAGACAGTCAACAGACATTTGTCATTGATTTTTCTGTGCTGGGTGATCCTGGAGAATCCTGTCCTGAGGAGTTCTTGGTCTGATGGGGGACTCAAACTAGGACCCAGAGGGACATAGCCCCCAGGGAGATCAGGGCAGTAAATAAGGGGAGTGCTGGGGCTGGAAGGGTTGGCAGGTAGAGAAGAAACCTCTGATTGGGGGTTGGGGCATCAGGGGTGACTTCAGAGAGGGTGGAGCCTGTGCTGGGTCCTGAAGGATGAGTAGGAGGTCACCAGGTGGACAGAGTGGG